TGCAGCAGCTGCAGCAGCAACAGCAACAGCGCCAACAACAACAACAGCTTCAGCTTCAGCAGCAACAGCAACATCCTCAAGCTCAACCCCCGAACATGTTGCAGACGAACAGCAAACGGAAGGGCAGCAGCCAGCTCATGACTTTCATATAAAGGCGCCAGCAACTGTGGCAACAACAACAACAGCAGCAGCAGCAGGAGCAGCAACCGTCTCCTGCACAGCAGCCACATTGCCAGTCTCAACGCTTGCCACAAAGACTGCGGCCCAAAACGCCTGCAGTCAAAAGTGTAACAAGTGCAATTCACACAACAACAACAGCAACAGCAATAATAACAACAACAGCAACAACAACAACAACAACAATAATAATAACAACAACAACAACAACACTCATTACAACAACTATAATAACTATTATAAGAAAAAATCTCGTATGCCGCCCATTTGCCGTTAGTATTTTTTTTACGTTCTGTTTTCTCATAACATAACTTCATAATATATCATAAACCATACAACTATTCGCTACTCAAACCCGACACGCCCTCACCTCGCCCTCGCCCTAGCCCTCGCCCTAGCCCTAGCCCGCCCTTGCCCCTGCTACCCATTCCAACTGCAAAAAAAAGAAAAAAAAAACACACCACACACGCACCCTGCAAAAACACAACACAAAAAAGAAATAAGCAACCCAAATAATAAATAATATCAAAATCGAAATTTTTTAACTAGTGACAACCAAAAATACTATCAAAATATTACCGCAACAAAAACAAAAACAAAAAAAAGAGAAGAAAATGCTCCAAAATAAATCACAAAAAATTAATAATATAAAATTGGCACAACACTTTGGCGCCTGATCATGATCTGATCTTAAGCTGATAATCATGATCAGCGTTCAAGACAACATTGATTTGACATATTGTTTTGCTTTTCCAATTTGGTCTCAGGCTCTCTGCCGCCATGTGGCAGGTGCGGCACACACGGCTGACAGATCCTAAATGCTTGCCTCGAGTCCAAATACAAGAACAAGAACAAAAACAAATACAACAACAAGAACAACAACAACAACAATCATAATCAGAAACCCCAAGAAATCGAAAAGATATCAAATACAAAACAATAACAAATTTCTCAACAATCGGCATACAAAATTTTTACGTATTCTGATACGATCCAAATCCAAATTCAAGAAACGAATCGGCAACTACAAAATTATGACATCCATAGGTAAATTTTGTGCAAATACCCAACCTCTAACCTGTTAAGTAGTAACTCTTACTAATTACCTAAATGCATATGATTATTACCTACATTACACCATTCCTAATGCTAACACTAACAACCTCTACTCTCTGTATATAAATAGATATATTTTCTTTTCTATTGCATTACACTCATACTTGCATACCATATACATATACATATATCTACACACCTACAACATATGTATATGGCTTGCCACACTGTACAAATAAAATGTAGCACTTGATATTATTATATATATATTTGGTATTCAACATTCGTTTAGCGACTCAAATCACACACTCATTATATTCGATAAGCTGAAGAAAGGCTCGAAAAGGCGAGTATCGAGTTTTACTTTGATATAAAACTATATAGTTTCAATTGGTTTCAACGGGGTTTATTGGTAATATAACTGATAAAGCCTATTTGCTCCATTCCGAATAAATCGACATTAAACATTTGTTCCGTTCGAAATGTTGGAAAACAAAAATACAAACACTTCAAAAACGAATGTACATTTCTGAATTAGAAAGATGGTCTTATCTATTTTTCAATTAAAAATAATTTAAGTTGAATCCCAAATCGTGGAACACGTCAAGTTTTCACAAAAACATCGATATGGATGCTTACTAAAGATGATCTAGGTATTTCAGGAATTTCTCATTTCGATTTAAAAAAAAAACATCTGAATGTTATCGATAATTTAAGTGTAATTTAGCCATATCCATAATAAGCTGAAGCATTTTGCATTCATATGTGAATGAAGATTCCAATATGAAAGATAATTGCATTTAAGGTGTTTGATATAAGATTTAGTTTAAAGAGACTAGAGGCGTTTCATTCGTGTGAATTATGTGATTTTGTTAATGTGGAGTCCGCTTCAGATGAATTGATTGGAATCCTAACGACAGACTGCAATTGCAGTTGGCTTCTCTATAAATTCTCGATAAAAGAACTTCAACGACTTGATAAGTTTTCATGGTTCGTTTCGCGCTTTATTAGTTCTTGTTAACCTCACAGGTGCGTCTGTATGCAACAGCTGTGTCTGTGTGTGTCTGTGTGTGTGTGTGTGTGTGTGTGGGTGGGTGTGTGGGTGTTCTGGCTGGCTTCTGTTGCCACCACGCGCCGTACAACACACAGACACACCAGCACACCAACACACAGGCACACCAGCACACAGACACACGGACACACAGACACATCGACACACAGATACAGTTACGCATGGGCTTTATTGTTTAGAATAATCTTGCGCTTGATAATGAAAATAGGTCAAATTTTAAAAATACACACACAAACGCGACATTGTCGACGTCGGCGTCAACGTCAACGTCAGCGCCGTCGCTGCTGGTTGCTGTTGCTGTTGTTGTTGTTGCCGCCGTTCGCTTGGCAAATGATCGTGGCATGCGTAGATACAACGGCATTAGATATAGATACATCCACTTACAGATACACACATATTCACTAGCTGGGCCAACGCACCGCGTTCACTAATTGAGGCAGGCAGTAAGCGTCAGAGAGAGAGACAGAGAGAGTGAGAGAGTGTGAGAGAGAGAGAGAGAGAGGGGGAGAGAGAGGGAGAGAGAGAGAGAGAGAAAGAGAGAGAGAGAGGCAGAAAGAGAGTAAGCGAGCGAGTTAGAATTTCAATGCGATCGAAAGTTGAGCTGGTGGCAGCCACATCTTTCTCTCACTTTCTAGCTCTCTTTCCCTATATCTCTCTCTCTCTCTCTCTCTCTCTCTCGCTTTTTCTCTCTCTATCTCTGTCTCTCTCTCTCTCTGCCTGTTCTCTTGGTCTCTGTCTCTGGTTAAACTTGTAGCTTGCAGCAGATTGCAACACACACAGAACGCTTATCTTGACAGCTAGAGGGAGGCACTGTGCTTGCTGATAGCAACGTCGCTGCACTACACCCTCCATCCTCGTCTGCCGCCCCCGTCACCGTCCCCTGCCAGCTTTGATTTCCACTTTACTTTGCTGCTAGAAATTGAATGCCAGCATTTTCTACATATTTTCTTTTGACCCATATTGTGCTGCGTTTTTATAATTCGTAAAAGAAAAAAAAAGAGGCTAAACACTTTGCGACGCAGCTAATTAGATGACCTCCCCCCTACCCTACCCACCCCTGCTGCTTAACCAGTTTATTTTTATTTTGCTTAAAGTTGTTGTTTTACTTGTGTTTGTATTAGCTTATGTTTCTTCTTTAAATCGCGCTGCTTCTCGGTTTTGGGAAGTAAATGCAAATTTTGTTTTGGTCATTTGGCATTAACTTCCGCCAATTTCGATTCAGAAAAAAAAACGAAACAAAATAAAAGAAAAAACAAAAAGAAAAAAAAATAAAACTACTTTAGCTGATATCTGATTTTATGCATGCTGTGGACAGTGATTCACTTGGTGCCGAGCATCATCTGAGCAGACAAATGGACTCGTAATATGGCCCAAAAAACACATGTTTAAATACGGCGGCATTCACAATGGGGCATATCGGTTATAGCAAACAATTGTACTTATATATAAAGCGTTTGCTAGACTATTTAAGAATAGCTTGTACAAATGAGGACGTTGTCTTATTTTACTCAAGTCTCACTCGTCGTTCAGTTTAAAGCGAAATCGAACCAAAAGAAATCTGTTTTTGAACATGTTTCATATTATTTTTGATCGGCAGCTATATGTGTTATAGTATATTCTAATCTATGCCCATAAAATGTGTGTCAAGCTTTGTAGTTTATCTAATTCTTTAAAGTTAACATAATATGATAGCATTTCCCGAAATTTTGAATATATCCTTTTACAAATTTTATTATAATTTTTTATGACTTGAATATGACTATCATTAAGCAGTAATTGTTGTTTAGATACTGGCATAATTCGATTTGGAAATGGTTTATAATATAGTTATTCGATGGGTTGGTGTAGATTGTCGATTGGTCACATTCGAAATAGATCTCCTCAAAAAATACATATCCAAATGTATATGCACTTCGCTCGTCGTCCGTAGGGTATCAAAAAGGTGATTTTTATTGAAAATCGGAAATTCTAAATGCTAAACCAAGTTTAACAAGTTAACACCCATGCGAATTAATTTCAGTTTCGGACAAAGTCACGGCCATGGGAAACGTGCTATCAGCATAACTCAGACAAGACGCGGATAGAAGAGGTGCCACATGCAAGAATATTTTAGCCACGAGCTTCTTCTATCAGGGGTACCACACACAATGTGGAAATATTCAGCTTAGCTATTGTTTGACAAATGTTCTGTGACCCTAAATGCTTTATAGTCGTGCGCCCAACTAAATACCAATATTTGCCTATTTATCTGGCAAGACTGTCATTTTGTTCATGGCTTGTCATCATGATAAATTCCTCATCAATAATTAATGCACATAAATTGATCACATTTTTTGTTGTTTCGCAAATTTGTTCAAATTTTATAGAAATGCTAAACTAGTTGAAGCTGCTATCAGGATATAGTAGTCAAATTCTTGACTTAACGCAACTTCTTTAAAATGAGACCAAGCAGACTGAACTTGATCCAAAAGTGTTTCAAACTTTTTTTTTTGTTTTGTTTCCAATGATTGTCTGTGAGGCTGGAGAAGTCTTCTCAAATCTGACTTGAATTAATCAAATGAATAATTTATTTTTCATATATATATATATATATGTATATATATATATATATATATATATATATATATCTATCTTATCTTGTTGTTATATTACTATTTCTTTTGCTTTGTTTTCCCTTTGCGGGGTTCGCAGGAATTATGACACTGAGCCGTGGCCCGTACAGCGAGCTCGATAAAATGAGCCTTTTTCAAGACCTCAAACTCAAGCGGCGCAAAATCGATTCAAGATGCAGCAGTGACGGCGAATCCATAGCGGACACATCCACCTCGTCGCCGGATCTACTGGCGCCGATGTCGCCCAAGCTATGCGACAGCGGAACGGCGCCGTCGCTGCCGCCGCTACCGCTGCCGCTGAATGCGCTGCCATCGGTGACGGTAACGACATCGGCAGCATCCACATCGGCGGCAGCAGCTGCTGCCGTCTCCACATCAACAACAACGTCATCATCATCATCAGCAGCAGTAGCAGCAGCAGCAGCAGCAGCAGCGGCATCAGCAACAGCTGCAGCTGCAGCTACAACAGTAACAGCAGCGGCAACATCAGCAGCGGCAACGTCTTCAACGCCGTCTTCCTGCAGCAGCAGCACCATTACCATAACGGCAACTGCAACAGCTAAGGCGGCAACAGCAGCAGCAGCAGCAGCCGCCGCCGCAGCAGCCACAGCAGCAGCAGCATCAACATCAACAGAAGCAGCAGTAGCAGCAGCAGCAGCAGCAGCAGCAGCATTAAATCAAAACATTGGATCGGCTGGCGGATCCAAGCATCAACAGACTGAAATACACTCATCGAGCAATGCGATAACAGCAGCTGCCGCATCCACAGTAATGTCGCCGCCGCCGGCAGAGCTGCAGCGAGCAACATCTCCGCTGCTGGCAGTCGGTGTTGCTGGCGTTGCTGCGAGTGTTGCTGGTGAGGCGTTGTCGCTGGCATTGAATTCGCGCGGCACGCCGACACCGCCACATAATAATGGCGGTGCATCGAGCTCGAGCAATGGCAGCAGTCGCGCCTCGCCCGACTCGCTCGAGGAGAAGCCGTCAACAACGACGGGGCGTGGCAGCAGTACGCCAACCAACGGACTGCTGGCCAACAGCAACAACAGCAGCAGCACCAGCAGCAGCATCAACATTAGCAACAAAATCAACAGCAGCACCAGCAGCAATCTGAGCGTCATCCGCTCAGTTAAAGAGGAGCGCATTCTGGCCTCGCCCACAAAAATGCTGGCATACCATCAGCAGCAACAGCAGCAGCAGCAGCAGCAAAGGGAAAGGGAGCACAGGGAGCGCGAGCGGGAAAGGGAGAGGGAAAGAGAAAGGGAGAGGGAGAGGGAACGTGATAGGGAACTGAAGGCAGCCAGTGGACATGGACACGTTACCGTCCTGGTCACGCCCTCACGCATCAAAGCCGAGCCACCACCGCCCTCCTCGCCTTCTTCCACAACCACACAAAGGGATCGGGAGCGGGATAGAGAGCGCGATCGAGACCGTGATCGGGACAGAGATTTGGGCAGCTCCAGTTCAATTAGCTCGTCGCAGCAACAGCAGCAGCAACAGCAGCAACTGCAGCAGCAACAGCAACAGACGCACATAAGTCGCAGCAGTCCGCCGATGGGTCAGCATCTGGGGCACGCCTATGGGCATCCGCATGCTCATCTGGGTGGTCATAGTGGTAGCTCCATTGTGCAGACTCATCATCTCCACCAGCAGCTGACGCAGCCGTTGACGCTGCGCAAGAATAGTCCGCCGCAGGAGCTACAGCTGCCGCACCTGACGATGCAGTCCATGCAGCAGCTAACACAGCAGCAGCTCACCCAACAGCAGTTACACTTGCATCACCTGCTTGGTCAGCAACAGCAACAGCAGCAGCACCAGCAGCAGCAACAACAGCAGCAGCAACAGCAGCAACATTCGCCGCATGCTCTGATACGCGTCAAAAAGGAGCCCACTTCAAGTGGCAGCGCTCAACAGCAGCGGCATCTGTCACCGCATCATCATCAGCAGCAACAGCAGCAGCACCAGCAACATCAACAGCAGCAGCAGCAACAGCAGCAGCAGCAGCAACAGCAACAGCAGCAACACCATCACCAGCAACAGCAACAACAGCAACAGTCGCTGCTGCATTCAGCATCGCTGCAATCGCTGCGCCATCCCAGCCGCGATGCCGCCATTTTGTTTCGCGTCAAGAGTGAGGTGCAACAACAGGTGGCCGTTGCTGCTGCTGCGGCAGCATCCTCCAGCTTGCCGCATCTCATGCAACCGACAGCAGCAGCAGCTGCCGCCGCTGCAGCAGCAGCAGCAGCACATCGCATGGTCTGCTTTAGCAATGCGCGCATCAATGGCGTCAAGCCGGAGGTAATTGGCGGCCCCTTGTGCCCCTCGCCGCATCCCTCCTCCTCGTCATCGGCATCGTCGCAACTCTCGCCCCAAACGCCCTCACAGACCCCGCCTCGTGGCACGCCCACCGTCATCATGGGCGAAAGCTGTGGTGTGCGCACAATGGTCTGGGGCTATGAGCCACCGCCGCCCTCAGCTAACCAGCAACAACAACAACACCAGCAACAACAACAGCAGCAGCAACATCAGCAGCAGCAACACCAGCAGCAGCAGCAGCAGCAACAACAGCAACAACAACAGCAGCAG